TGGTGTGTGTGTGTGTGTGTGTGTGTGTGTGTACCTATGCTGTATGTGCCTGCATGACAGGGTGGTGTGTGGTTGAATCTATTCTGTGTGTTCCTGCATGACAGGGTGGTGTGTGTGTGTGTGTGTGTGTGTGTGTGTAACTACGCTGTGTGTTCCTGCATGACGGGCTGGTGTGTGTGTGTGTGTGTGTGTGTGTGTACCTATGCTGTATGTGCCTGCATGACAGGGTGGTGTGTGGTTGAATCTATTCTGTGTGTGCCTGCATGACGGGATGGTGTGTGTGTGTGTGTGTGTGTGTGTGTGTGTGTATGTGTGTGTGTAGCTATGCTGTGTGTCCCTGTATGCGTATCCGTAGCTGAGCTGATGCATTTGATGGGTAAGAACAGGCTTGGGGTGTGTGGCTGCAGGCTGAGTGTGCAGGCCAGGGTGTTGCATGCAGTCACAAGTTTCCCTTCTAGAGTGTACCTCAGCTTATTTCTGGCATCCATGCTGTGTGTTGGCGGAGGCAGCAGACGGCTGGGGAGCAAGCAGCAAGCAGACTGGGTTTATGTGAGAATTAGCCAATAAGAGGCTACAGATTATGGGCCAGGCAATGTTTAAAAGAATACGGTTTTCGTGTAATTATTTCGGGTAAAGCTAGCCGGGAGCCGGGTGGCGGGACACAGCCTGCCACTCCTTTTTCCTGGTGAGTTGGGAAACCTCCCTTCAGTGAGTCTCCTCAGGGGCCCCAGGCCTAGAACTGCCCACTTATTTAGTTGTTTCTGCTTCCTCTTTGAGATCCAGAGGTTGCATATCCACAGGAGTCTAGCTGAAGTATTCAGCATCATTGATGCTGTTGGGACTCTTGGGGGCAGCGGGAAGACCACAGTTCCAAGGATGGCTCTCAGTTCTGTCCCTGCCACCATTTCAAAAAGTTCCTCCATTTTGGCTAAATAGGGACAATTCCTCCAAACCATGTGGATTGACCTTCCTAGATCCCTGCCTCTGGCCCACTGCAAGCCCACTGATAAGGACTGGCCTTAGGAAGCGACTGTCAGCCACTCCACATCCCTTTTCTCACTACTCTCCCTTCTTCAGCGGCTCCTGGCAATGCCCACTGCCAGGCCAAAAGGAAAATTCCATTTCAACCTTCCTCCCTGGCCCTCCTTTCTGCCCTGTAACTATCCCAGCTTGGGGGCTTTGGGCAGTTACTGGACGACTCCTCCATCGAAGTGGAACCCTGGTTCCACTTAAGGCGAGCCAGGGTCCTACTAGATGCTGCGGGACTCCATCCGAGTGGTCTCCATGGTGACTGGTATACTCGTCGCCATCCTCCGTGAGCGCTGGCTGCCAAAGTCACAGCTCTCTACCAAAGTCCACCCTACCCCACTCCCCTCTTTCGAGCCAGGGCCTTGATATATAGCCAGGCCAGCCTTGAACTTAGTCTCCCAGAGGGCTAGGAGGACAGGCATCTGCTACCATTCTGAATTCAATAGTACTTCTGTGTTGGCAAAACGGTTCAACAAATAATAGCACCAACCACCAAGCCTGCCAAGCCACAACTATAGAAGGGGAAACTGAGTCTTCCAAGCTGCCCTCTGACCTCCACATTGCCTACCATGGCCCATGCCTATGCTCGAGCACACACATACACAAACACACACAAACACACAAACACACAACACACACTAGTTAATGTATTCATTTTTTAAAGTTTTTTTTTGTTTGGTTGGTTTTTTTTGGTTTTTGGTTTTTTTTCTTTTTTTTGAGACAGGATCCCTCTATGTAACCCTGGCTGGCCAGCAACTCACAGACAGCCCTCTGCCTCTGCCGTCTAAGTGCTAGGATTAAAGGTGTGGACCAGATTTTTTTAAAGTTTTTAAAAGTAAATATTCTTTAACTGTGTTCCAGGGGCTATGGGAAGCCAGAAGAAAGTCGGACACCCAGAACCAGCCTTGGAAGTTTCCAAACGCATCCCTGAGCGGTGTGGAGAGGGAGGTGCGTGAGCTGAACAGGCTAGCGAGGAGCAACCATGCCTGTTTGAGAGGCTGGAGGAGCCCTGTTGGGGACCTGGTGGCTGAACTGACCTCCGAAGAATAAGGAAAATGTCACAAAGAACACGAGAGAGAAGCACAGAAGAGAGCAGGGTCTGCGGGCAGCAATGGAAAAGGAGGTCTGTGAATCTGAGAAGATCGAGAGGCCTGAGGTGGGGAGCTAAAGGAGAAACATCGGAACTGGGGAGCAAGCCCAGACATACATGTCCCCTTCACCACCCCTGAGCAGTGAAGGCCTGAGAGGGCTTTGAAGGTCCCCTTTCAGGTCTGGAAATGGCTGTTCCCCACCTGGCTGTGACATTCCCTGTCCCCCAGCATTCTTGGACTTGCTCCAGCAGGCATACCAGGTGACTCATAGAGACACCCAAGGGTAATTGCTGATTCTGCATGCTGCAATGCCCAGGGTCTCAGTTGCAGCATGTGGTAGCTAGTTATTTTAACTTAATTTAATAATGAATTCATTTGTGTTTGTGTGCTCTCAAGAGGTACACCATGGTACACACCTGCCAAGAGCAGCTTATAGGAGTCAGCTCCCTCCCTCCACCTATGAACTCCTCTGCCTTGGTGGCAGTTGCCATACCTTTACATGTTGGGCCACTTCCCCAGCTCCTTGATGGTTAATCTTGATAGTCAACTAGACTCAATTTGATATCAACATGGAAACACACCTCCGGGCGTGTCCAGAAAGGTTTACAAAGAGAGGAAAGACCCACCCTGAATGTGAATAGCACCGCCCTATTAGCCAGGATTCCTGGCTGAATACAAAGCAGAAAGTGAGGGGAGAACCAGCATCCTCTCTGGTTCCCATAGCGTCGCTGTGACCTGCTGCTCCCACCACTGAATGCTCCCCACGACGATAAAACCTTGCTTCCTTAAATTGCTTCCGGACAGCTAACTAGACAGCTAGCTATGGGCTGGAGAAATGGCTTGATGGTTAAGAGCTAGCTGCTCTTCCAGAGGACTCTGGACCCATATGGCAGCTCACGCCTGTAACTCCAATTCCCAGGGACCCAACATCCTCTTCTGATCTCACTGAGTACCAGGGACACAGTGCACAGGCACATGAGCAGGAAAAATGCCCATACACCACAGAGTAAATCTCAAAGAAGAAAAGTAACTGAACACAGCAGGAAGGTGACAGGGAAGCCAGGGACAGAAGGCACATTTCTGACAGGGTCTTCTCTTGGGCACCCTTGCTACCTCTTCAGCTCCACCTGCCACCTGCACAGGCGCTCACACTTGAGGTCTGTTGGGGGACAAGGGAGGGGAGGGTGATTCTGCTTTGTCCAGGAGGAAGAGGAGGACCCAGCTGCTGAGGCTGAGGGGGAAGGAGGCTTTTTGAAGGAAAATGGATCTGTGGGGAGCAGACCATAGAATGCTTACCTCAGCTCTACCTGCCTTGCCTTCTCCCCACTTCCCGTCTGGGGCTGGGGGAGGAGAGGAAACAGGAGCCGAACTCCCAGCATGCCTTGCAGTCAAACATGATGGATAATGAAATTTTGTCTGATGACTAAGGCATGTCAGCACAGCAGATTCTAAGACCTAGTTCCCACACTTTATGTGTGCACACAGAGTGAGACACTGAACCAATTCATACTCAGACTGTGCGACACATATACATAATGAGACTGCTTAGGATTTTGGTTCCAAAAGTAGTCTTCAAGAATTATCAGAGGAGCTTGGAAGATGCAGACTCCTGGATTTGACTGAGACTTATATCTTCAAGGAAGCCCATAATTCTGTACTAGAGCAGTAGATTGGACCCTAAAGATTTCTATGTGTGTGTGTGTGTGTGTGTGTGTGTGTGTGTGTCCGTGTGTCCTGGGACTCCCTGTGTAGACCAGGCTAGCTTCGAACTCTCAGAGATCCACCTGCCTCTGCCTTCCGGTGCTGGGATTAAAGGCGTGTGCCTACATGTCTGCAGATACCCACATCTTAACCCCTAGTCCCAAGACTGTGTTGTATTACATGAGGAAGGGGGAGCTGAGGCCCTATATGGATTGAAGGTTACTACTTAAGTAACTTCAAAGTGAAACTTTAGAACTGGGGTATAGTTCTGCCACAGAGCACTTCTCCAGTGTGTGCAAGCCTGGGGGTTTAGCCTCACCATCACAATAACCATAAATAAAACAAAGCATCCAATGTCTGAGGTTACTTGGTTGAAACAAGCTGAGTGAGTCTTTCTAAAGTATATACAGATAAAACCTTTGTTGTCATGATCGATAGTCTTAGGCACCAAGAACTTTGGGAAATAATCAGAACATGGTAGCCAACCCCTCACACTCTAGAACTCAGTCAAAAGTGATTGAGGCACAATCTAAGTAGGATTACAGTCCTTATGGGGAGAGGATAATAGGAGAAGGCAGTTTGTTTGGAGGATGCACCTTGTGGGTACCCCGGTCTGGACTACTCTAGAACCGAGAGAACTTCGGCTAAGCCCTGAGTCTTTGATGCATGGTGCTCCCTGGCTGTGGGTCTATTGCAGCAGCCTAACCAACTACAACTGGGTAAATCCAAGGCGGGGGTCTCTAATGCAGCAGACAGAAATGAAAGGGTCTGCTGAAGAAGGAAGCAGGGAGAAGAGATTGGCATGATACAAAGCCAGGCTCAGTCAGTGATGCCTGGACCCCAGGATGAAAGGAGGTCACAGGACCAGTGATGCCAGAAGTTTCTAGAAGTCAGAAAAAGCAGAGAAATACTCTGGCCCCTAGAACTGAAAGGAACACAACCCTGTGACAGTGTGGCAGACTGAAGAATCCTAAGGTGACATTGGAGCGAGAAGGCTACAGCAACAATCGGAAATGAACAACAACGTCCCCTGTTTCTGAGGACCGCTGGGCTGCTCCACCAGCCTATGCCGTAGGAATGGGCTGCCAGCCAGGTGAAATTTGGAATGGACACAGACACTTCCAGGACTGCATGGTGTCCTGTCTTAGGCACTGTCCGTACCAGCTAGTGCTGGGAAGCCCAGATGAGTGATACAGGGGATCCTTGGGAAACACGGGACAACTAAGCAAGCACTAGAAGGGTTTACAGGGAGGAGAAGCAGCAAGCACAGGGACAAAGTCTGGATTCAAAAGTCATCATGACTCAGAGTGACAATCCCCTTATGGCAGACACAGGGCAGGGACGGGGACTGCACAGGGGGCCATCGTAATGCCTCATGCACCGCATGCTCGACCACTTGGTGACAGAACGATCTGGCTCCCCACCTTATCCCTGAGCAGACACAGGACGTGGGTAGCTGCTTCCTTCCTGGGGTCTGCACCAGCCACCTTCCTTCTCCTGCCGTCCTCCTGCCTCCAGGCCTAGAGACAGAGAGGACAGATGGGCTGTCAGACTGTTAGTCACCCTCATGTGTCTCTGAGCGCCTCCAGACGCTGCCCCTGGCGTCTCAGCTCTACCTGCCTGTGTGTCACTCACACATTCTTCCAGATAACCTGAGCAGGTCACACCGGAGGGTGGGGGCGGGATGGGTATTTATGATTCTCCTTGTGTGAGGATCTTAGGAAAGACAGGAAGAGTAGCAGGGTGGATGCAGGGAAAAGAGGGACAAGCGAGTGGGTTGTCATTTCTGTTTGGGAAAGTGGAGACATTCCTCTGGAAAATGGGCCATGGTGACAAACAAACCAAGTGTATGGAACCAGACGCTTAAAGCCTGCTTTGTGTGGTAAATACTTTATGCTTTTAAAATTCTTTAAATTAAGCACTTACTTATCTAGCATGAGTATGTGAGGAAGTCAAGAGTAACTCCTAAGAGTGAGCTCTCCCCTCCCATGTGGGCTCTGGGGCTGGGACTCAAGTCATCGGGTTTGCCTATGAGCACTTTTACCTTCTGAGCCATCTTGCCAACCCCACCCCCAAGTTTTAAGCACCCTCAAACAGTATGATTAAATGAAAAATGTTCTCCAGAGACTCTTCATCCCCAGCTGGTAATACTATTGGTTTTGGAAGGTGGTGAGGCTTGGTTGCCAGAAGTAAATCACTAGGGTGGGCCTTGGAGGGTACACCCTCTCCTCGTATAACACTTGTTCTCTACTTCTTGGTCTAACATGACCAAAACAGTCACACACACACACACACACACACACACCACACATGTCCACACACACCACATATACCACACCCATAGAACATGTACACAGGGACTACATACATACACATTACACACACCACTGACACACAATGTACATATACATACACATTACACATACCATCAACACACAACATGCACATATGTACACATTACACAGACCTCACACATACGCACACATACGTATACATACCAGCACCACGAGGAACAGAGCTGTTAAACTGTCTTCCTCATCACTGTGGACTGAAACCTCCATCATGAGCCAAAGCAATAAGTTTCACCTGTCAAATATCTGGCCATAGCAAGAAAACAAGACTTTTTAATTGTTTTGAAACAGGGTCACACTATGTAGCCTTGACTAATTTGGAACTGTCTTTGTAGGCCAGGCTGGCTTTGAACTCACAGAGATCTCCCTGCCTCTGCCCCCTAAACTCTGGGATTAAAGACATGCATCACCACATCTGACAGAAAAATTTCAACACCTTAAAACAGAGGTGTGGGAGTTCGAGGCCAGCCTGGTCTACAAGAGCAAGTTCCAGGAGAGCTGTGACACAGAGAAACCCTGTCTCAAAAACAAAACAAAACAAAACAAACAAACAGAGGTACGCCAGGTGGGGGTGGCGCAGTCGGGTGGTGGTGGCACAAACAAGTCTTTAATTCTAGCACTTGGGAGGCAGAGGCAAGAGGATCTCAGTGAGTTCAAGGCCAGCCTGATTTACAAAGTGAGTTCTAGGACAGCCAGGGCTATTACACAGAGAAACCCTGTCTAGAAAAAAAAAAAAAAAGTGCTCCAATCCCTTTGAACAGACTTTCCCCAACATCTTATAGCAGAGAACAGCAGAGCTGGATTTGAACCCCAAATCCAGATTTATTTCTCCATACTCCCCCAGACACAGCAGAAGCAAGGCCGAAGTGGGCTTCTGAGGAGGTGTCCAGGGAGTTGAAGAGGAGGCTTAGCGCTGACCTCTTGAGCAGGCCATCTGTGGAGGCCGCTTCTCTGGGTTTCCCTTGACAACCTTTATTTTCCACGATGACATTGGAAGCAGCTGACTCAAAAGAGCAGCTGAAGCAGGGAGGAGGAATTCGAGATTGCTGCAGGATTTCTGTCACCCGTCCGATAGCCATTTGTAAGAAGCGGTTTGGCCCATAGCACGGAGTTTTTATTGGAAGGTATGTGACCCAAATACCGAATAAAAGGCCAGGGTAGAGCTAAGCACACTCTCTCTTGGGTGTGGGCGAGCTGGCAGCAAGCCATGGGAGCACGCATGGATGGCGGCTGGGTGCTCATTCCTTTTAGAACAACGCAAGCGACGGTGTATTGGCAGGACCCACAGTGGTGTGGCAGCTTCATTTTGCCCTGTGAGTGCAGTACATTGATCCTGATTTGTCTATTAATAAACCGTACATGACCTCAATTGGCTTCCTTCTTCACCAGGCAACTGCTGTTCTCCGTAGCAAGGGTAACTAGCGAGGATCCCTAGCAATCTTGCCATCCAGAGGCAGGGGCCACACCAGAGCTCACCAGGGTTACCCAACAAAGCTACAGAGGTTTTCAGAATTAGCACCCTTCACAAGCTGATTCTACCTGGATCTTCCCCCTACCCAAAAGAGGGATGTCCCAGAGTCCAAGGATGACACCAAGAAGACAAGAAGTCCAAAGCGATAGGCAGAGTCTGTCTACTCTGGGAGAACCCAGGGTGCGGGACAGGTAAGCTGGTTAGGTTCTGTCCACTTCACACAAGCCAGAGTTATCTAGGAAAAGGACAGACATCTCCAGTGAGAAAATGCCCCTATCGGCAAGGCTGAGGTGGGCGGGTTCACCCCACTGTGAGTGGGGCTACCTCAGAGCAGGTGATACTGGATGCAGTAAGAAAGTAGACTGAACAGGTCAGAGGGAGCAAACTAGTAAACCGCGCTCCTCCATGGCCTCCGCTTCAGTTCCTATTTCTAGGTTCCTGCCTCGGGTGCCTGCCCTGCTTTCTCTCAATGACCAACTGTGACTAGAACATATAAGCCCAATAAATCTTCTCCTTTCCAAGTTGCTTTTGGTCATGGTATTTATCAGAACAGAATCTGGGGCTACAGGCATCTGGAGAACAGGCCTAATGGTCACAAGCAAAGCAGAGAACAGAACCCTTGGAAGGGATGCAACCTCTCCTGGAGACTCTCACTGTAAGCATGAAGAACAACAATACTACAGCATTAGTCTTCTGAGACCACGTCACGGATTCCTCAGGGCTGAATGGCTTTAAACCACAAGGGTTAAAGGCCTCAGTTTCCAGGGGCAGAAAATTGGGGCAGTAGCTGAGCTCTCTGGGAACTGGGACGAAGATAGAAAGACCTGGGGTGAGAAAACATGTGTCACACAGATGAAGTCACAAGGCATTGTCACGAAACAGATGCCCACACACTCACCACTAGGTTTAAGTCTTGATGTTAACCACTTCCGGCACAGCGGCCCGGGTGTTCTCTGTCCCCTGCTCCCACACTGCTCCCACCAGCCATGTGACAGAGTCCCTGGCTTTCCTGGCCGTGGTGCAGCACACAGACACCTCCAACCACTATTGTTTGGTCTTGTTTTAGTCTCAAAACTTGCATACACATTGCGTCGTGGTTGAATGTCTGCTGGGACCTTCCTGTCCCCGTGACAAGCTGCCTCGGAAGGACAACCACACTCTTGCTTCTGGTTTCAGTTCCTTTATTTTCGTTGCTACCTTGGTCACTGGTGCGAACCGGAACTCGGTACCTAAACTGCAGTGTAAGTCACTTGAGGCTTGAGGGTTTTTTTTTTTTCCCCTCAGTATGCAAATTGGGGAGGGCAGTCGGTAAATCCTTCCCTTTCATCAGCCTCTAACCCTGCAGGGCTTGGAATGCCTTTCTCTCAAGTCCTCAGCTACCCGACCAATTCAGCACCCCTTCTCTGTAAGGGGTCCTCAGAGGCATTCACTACTTCCTGAAGAGCAGGAACCACCGGCTTGTTCTTCAATGAACTGTCTTCCTGGTCCCTGACCGCCTCCCTCCTTCTGCACTCCTTTCCTCATGGGAGGTAAGAGCCCTATAGAAGTTGGTCATGCTCTGCCCCAGCCTACACCCTCCCTATTTACAACGAAGTTGCCTCCTCTCCCCCTCTGCCTTCTCAGAGTCTACATCTCTGTATCCCCACCCCAGGAATGAGACACACAGCCCTGCATCCCACCCCAGGAATGAGACACACCGCTCTGCACCCCAGGAATAAGACACACCACTCTGCACCCCAGGAATAAGACACACAACCCTGCACCCCACCCCCACCCCAGGAATAAGACACACAGCTCTGCACCCCACCCCCACCCCAGGAATAAGACACACAGCTCTCCCTGCATCACTGCAGCTCTGCCTTGCTCAGAGGAGAATGCTTTCCCCATCATGGATGTGGGAAAACATCACTCTGGCAGCCAGCCTTCAACTCACATCAGAAGGCCCCGCCCACTCCTACAGGGACTCCAGCCCTAAGGCACATTGTCCAAGTCATCCATGTCTTGGTATGATAAGTAGAATTTGTGGAGATCCTAGCAGGGAGATATAAAGTTTTTTGTTATGTTCAGGTTCTTTTTTGATGTGTCAAGTCAAGAATCTTGGCAAGTAGGCCACTACTCAGAGGGATACCATCTTCATCGGTGGCATTGTTGTCCCTGAGGTTCTGCTATCAAGTTTTAACCTGTTGCTCTGTCACCTGCACTCAGCTATCACAGACCGCCACGGAAGAAACCGGCCCAGCAGGAGCTCTAGCGGGCTAGTGTCCTGGTATGTCCCCCAGTTCCCACAGGGCCACTAGGATGAGGGCTGGTTCCAGCAGCAGCCACCCTGAGCACTGCCCAGCCAGGAGGGAGCCTGTCCCCTTTGAGGAAAACTGAGCCCCTCGACGACAGCTGTTCTGCTCTGTTCCCATCTGCCACATGGCACTTTGGCTATAGACAGTGGTTTCCTGCAGGTTACCCCACAGCCCTAGGGGACGCAGTGGGTACCGAAGGCAAAAGCTGGACTTGGAGGACAGCACTTGGTGTAGGAGGTTTGGAGAGAAAAAGCTATGCCCATATTCCCAAATACTGTTCATAAATGTTCTTTTACATTTAAAGGGGGATATGATATAGATATGAATAATTTACGTTGGTATGGATCTTGGTTTATTTATATAAATTTAAGGTCAATCTTGTATGTATATTTCTGCTCTTGATTGAGGTGTTGTGATTGTGTAGTTCATTTAAAAGATGTAATGTATAATTAAGAAATATAGATAACCCTCTGTAATAGCCAAGTTTGTAGTCATGTTAGTTAGATTTTCTCAATGTGCATAGATATATTTCAGATGGATAGGCATTCTTCATATCTTTCAAAGACTACAAAATATGGCATTTAAAATGTTTTGATAACTTAGGACTTTTCATGACAATGAGACACGTCTGCTCCTGGCAGCAAAAGCTACTTCAATGGGAAGATGGGCATCGAAGAGGCTCCTTATGGAGCAGAGGGGATTGAGGATGTTAGAGGGAAACCGTCATCTGGAACCTCAGCGTAGGTTACTCTGTAACCTCTGCTCTAATAGCGCTCCCGTAACTGCAGGATACATCAGAGGCTTCTCGGAGATGCTGTGAGCCCCAGAACCGGCCCATGTCCGTATCCTCATTGACACTGTGTTCAGCCCTTGTCACGTGTTTGTAAGCCATGGTTCATTTGAAGAGGCAGAGCCATTCTGCCTATAAAGAATGAGATGGATTATAACAAGCCGACTTTATGTGGGGTAGGAGCTTGACCTTGATCCTCTGCAGGATCTTGTTCCATGGCCAGCAGGACAGAAAGCTGGGAAGGAAATTCACACTGTTGGGGACCAAGGGCAAGCTGGAGCCCACACTGTATCCAGTGTCTTCCATTATGTCCCAGGAGGTGAAGAACCAACAGAGGACCAAGTGTGGGAGCCCACACTGTATCCAGTGTCTTCCATTATGTCCCAGGAGGTGAAGAACCAACAGAGGACCAAGTGTGGGAGCCTACACTGTATCCAGTGTCTTCCATTATGTCCCAGGAGGTGCAGAACCAACAGAGGACCAAGTGTGGGAGCCCACACTGTATCCAGTGTCTTCCATTATGTCCCAGGAGGTGAAGAACCAACAGAGGACCAAGCGTGGCAAGAATGAACGCAGTGGCTGTGTCATCCCAGGACATGGCCAGGTGGACCCATGTCCGTTGCTTCAGTGTCTCTCTGTCCTGGCTTTCTGATATAAATAGGGCCGTCTCATTCTACTTCCCCATCTTGTGCAGAGTTCTTTTAAGGTCAACCCTAACCCAAAGGAGATTCCGGGGCAAACACTGCAGCTCATTTAAGTTTGATCAGACACTTCACGGGGCCGCTTCCTTTGCCTAGAATGTCCCACATTTCCCTCCTGGACAGCATTCCTCTGCGTTTGCTACAGCTCCACTCAGCGGGCTCTTCACTCCCGAGAGTCCCCAGGCCCCTCACTCAGTACTCGCAGGCCTCGTTACACAGCACTCTGTACTCTAGGGAGCCATCTAACCTCTGTCCTCCATTCCCAATGTGAGGGCTGGGACAGCTGGGACGCCACTGAACCCTGTCTCAGCCGGTGCCCTGTACACTAACCCTTCGAGGCGAATGTTATGTTCCTTTTCCACAGAAAGAAGCTACAGCTCCTAGAGACAGAAGTGTCTCACAGTATTGTACTGCCGAGCTACCCAGGGGCAGAATCTACACCGGCGGATCCACAGCCCACATTCTTAACTACCTAGCATTCTTTCTTACTTATGCACTTATTGCGTTGGTGCACACCTGCCACGGCATGCATGTGGAGCTCAGAGAATGACTTGGGGGAGTCACTCTCTCTTTCCAACATGTGGGGCCCAGGGACTGAACTCAGGTGGTAAGGCTTGATGGAAGTGCCTTCCCCACTGACCATCTCACCAGCCTACCCACTGATCAGGTTTTAAGGTAGGAAAGCTAAAGTGTGGTGACAACGGTGACCACTTGGTCTTTCCTCTAAGATGTGTTTGTGTATCTGTGTATTATGAGTATATGTGTGCTCGTAGCTGAGGGAGCAGAAGGCAGCTTTGTGTCCCTTGGAGCTGGGGTTACAGATGGCTTGGGTTGGCCTTATGTGAACACTCAGAACTAAACTCTGGTCCTCTGCAAGAGCAGCAAAAACTCAGTTGTTGAACCACCTCTCCATCTGTTTTTATCTTCACATTATTTCTTTTGTTTGCTCTGAAACAGAATCTTCTGTATTGTCTAGATCAAGTCAGAGTAGCTTTGAACTCATGGCCCTCCCACCCCCATCCTTGGGGTGCTGGGATTACAGGGGTGTGCCCTAGGATCTCCATCCCTGGGATGTTGGGATTACAGGGGTGTGCGCTGGGATCTCCATCCATGGAGTGCTGGGATTACAGGGGTGTGCCCTGGGATCTCCATCTCTCAGGTGCTGGGATTACAGGGGTGTGCCCTGGGATCTTCATCTCTGGGGTGCTGGGATTACAGGGGTGTGCCCTGGGATCTCCATCTCTGGGGTGCTGGGATTACAAGGGTGTGCCCTGGGATCTCCATCTCTGGGGTGCTGGGATTACTGGGGTGTGCCCTGGGATCTTCATCTCTGGGGTGCTGGGATTACTGGGGTGTGCCCTGGGATCTCCATCTCTGGGGTGCTGGGATTACAGGGGTGTGCCCTGGGATCTCCATCTCTGGGGTGCTGGGATTACAGGGGTGTGCCCTGGGATCTCCATCTTAAAATGAAAAGCTGGAACTCATCAGTCACTGCTATCATTTATAAACACATGGTGCCTGAGGCTGGTGCCAGGAGGGGCTGTAGCAGGCCACCAGAGGCCTCTGCAGGTCCCCTTGGTGGGTGGAAGACCACAGCAGGTGAGAGACAGAATGATATGTAAAGCAGAGAGAGAGTTTGGGTATAGAGTTTATTTAGTGTGTTATTGAGGGGGGAAGGGAAGGGGAAGAGGAGAAGGAGGGAGAAGAGTAGGGGGGAGGCAGCAGTTACCTCTTCAGAAGAGGGAGGGAAGGAGAGAAGAGAGCAGGCTAGAGAGAAGGTGGGAGATTCCTTGCCTCAGCTGAAGTGGGGGTTGGGAGTGGGCAGGCTTGTCTCTTAAAGGGACAGGGTACCCAGGTGACAGACTGGGCCAGCCTGGAGGCAGGAGAGGGTTAGAAGCCAGGGTGGGGTCCAAGGCCCACAGATCTTGAAGCACTGAAACTGTGTCTGAGGAGAGGGTTCTGTAATTGGCCTTGTTCTCCTGTTTGTCCCTCCTCAGGACCAGGCCCTCCAGTATCTAGAAAACCATTTTGACAGTCCCAGCCCGTTGACAACAGCACCTGGGACTCTAGGGTGAGGATGACAGGAGACAGTCTCCCTTCCTATGAGGTCTTTTGTGAGCCTGGCATCAGGGCTCAAAACTGAGAATATTCTGGGGCTGGATGATGGGCTTCTCTGAGTGGTGCTCCATTGAGATGCCCTAGATACCCGAGCTGGATCAAAAGAAGTGGAATCGCAGTCTCCTAAGGGTTAGCAAAGGGAGGAAGGTCCAGTTCAGCTGTGCCTGCTCAGCCTTGAGAGGACTTTGTCCAAGGTGATGGAGAAGAGGGTAATGGCTAGAATTCAGGTCTCCAGGCTCTGGGCAGACTGGAGACTTGAGCGCCAAGCACAGGCCCACTTCAGGTAAGTCTTGTCCTCTGATGCATACTTCATGAGACAGGGAGGAAGATGCCCAGGGTGAAAAGACTGCGAAACCCAGGAAGCATGCAGTTGCTTTCAAAGTACCATGAAGATACCTTTCCTCGGCCACAGCAAGGTGGCTGACGTGCTGTGGAACCAAGCCAGCCCTCGCTGTGCAGCTGTCTCACTAGGTGGCTTTTCGCCTCTGGTGTCAATGTCCTCCTGGGTAGATGGCAATGAGTACACCCCACCCCACCCCCACCCCCAGCTACTGAGAATGTGGACCAAAGGCCTGAGTAAGTGATCTTTGCAGCAGCCTAGATCTGCATTTACATACACCATCAACACCTGGGCAGGCTCCTTGGCGCGTCCCTAGGGCTGGAGGGAGTCCTGTGCTGGGGTGGGACTCCTGGGTACCAGTGGGAGGGAGGGGAATACATGAAGACTGGCAGGGGAACCAGCAGGAACGACTGAGCCCTGAGTTAGGGAGGTAAGACAAACAGACGCCTACCCTGGCAAGCTACCAGAATAGCTGAGGAGTGAGCTGAAGTTCTCAGGAAAAGCCACACCTAAACCGGGCAGGGTGCTGCAGGTCTGTAAGCCTGGCACTTGGGAGGCAGAGACAGGAGGATTGGTGCTACAAAGCCAGGCCAGACTACATGAGACCATCACATAGGCACAACACACGGTGGGGGTCGGGGGGTAGAGAGAGAGAGAAAGAGAGAGAGAGAGAGAGAGAGAGAGAGAGAGAGAGAGAGAGAACCAAATCTATGCTCAAGTGACTAACTGGACTTTGTGATTGTGGAAAACCTGAGGACTGCAGATTCAGAAGCAGCTTCTCTTGAGCTATCTTCTTAACAGAGACCTAGTATCCTGCATCTGCCATGTGGGACACATGAATAGACCAGTGGTCTCTGTTAGGAATATTTTCCTAACGCAAGCTCTCCACTGACACAAATTCCCAATCAAGCCAAATCAAAACAAGACAAATTAAGAGATATCCAGGTTTAATGGGAGGTTCTGAGCTCTTGGGTGGCCCCAGGGGGAACCGTGACCACCGAGAGGGAGAAATGGAGACGATGTGTTCCTCTTTTGGGAGCTCATTTAAATACCCTGGGGAGTGATCCTGATCCCTCCCGAGGGGGTGCTGCTGGCCTGCTGGGATTTGGAGTCCAGAGTGCTAACTCTCAGGGTCAGGGGGCTAGGATAGATTCAAGGGGCTGGGGCCTAAGCTTCCGACTTAACAGTCTCCACCAGTCCCTAGACAAGAATGCCAGCAGATATCCAACGCCTTCAGTGGAGATTTCCCCACTCTGCTATAATCCGCCTGACACTTCTGCCAATATATCTAGAAAATGCCCCAGTCACATATCAGGAAGGGAAAACCAGGGATTTGAGAGCTGAGACCACAGATGCACACACAGAAATCCGCTCTCTCCCTCGCTTGGGCCCATAGTCTGCGACCCTTCCAGCATCCTTTGCAGGAGGCAGTAGAACCTGCTTTGGTGTGCCCACTGCCATCCTTCTGAACCTAGCCCAGGAACCCTCGCACCCCATGGCCCCAGCCCCTCTCAGTGCCTGGAATGGTTTTGAGAGTCCTATGCTCACAAAGGCAGAGCTACAAACAGCCTGAGAGTCACCTCCCACCCCCAACCGGGAAAAAAAATAGGCAAAAGAAAAAGCTTTCATGGTGGCATGCTATTATACTCTGAGCCTAATATCAAAAAACTGTCGGCAGAAACAACTAGCATGGGGAAGGCCTTGGCACTTCTGCAGGCTTTGGATCACGGTGGGAAGTGGAGGCATGGACTGCTGAACCTCTGATGTGGGAGCCACGTATGAAGTTTTATTAAGCGCTCGGAGACAAGGCCCATTCTGATGAGAGCCCTAAACTTGGTTCATGCATCTATTGACCAGACCTTCTGGTCAGCTGGGGGGGCCCACAAAAGGATGTATTATTGGCTGAAGAAAGGTTCTTAGAGACTTCAACTTGGCTTTTGCGGTGTTTTTTTTTTTTTGGTTTTGTTTTGTTTTGTTTTTCTCCCTTCATTGAGCTAAGCAGAACTATGTTAGACTGACATCTGAGGTAGGCAAGAAGCGGGGAGGGGGAGGTGCGGCAGTGGGTTGGAAGGTTGGCTCCAGAAGCCGCGGCACACGTCGCCCCCTTAAGGGGTGGAGCTGTGAAGTTGTGAAGTAGAGCTTTCCGGTTCGAAAGCTCTCACCGCGGGGAGAGGGGTAGACCCCTTTCTGCACGCTTCCAGGTGCGCATCCTGCCTCTGGGAGCTCCCGGAAGGACTGGGGATGGGGGTGTTGGTTCCTAGCCACCCCAGATGCTCCGTGGACTGTGGGTGCTCTGCAGTGCCGCAGTTGCGGAGCCTGGCACAGGGGACTGGAAACTGGCATCAACCCTGACCTAAGGCATCAGGCCGACCTAAGACAGCTGCAGGAGGTGGACACTGGTGACTGTCACCTGCTTGCGGGTGGGCAGGACATGCAGCAACAGGCCCCAGCAGACGCTGAAGGTCCCCTTAGCTGTGGTCTCCCTCTGGGACGCTGGTGCCTCGCAGGCCTAGAGCT